GCCCGGGGCCGGGGTGGCGGGTTCAGCGGCCTTGTGGGTTTGCGCCTGTTCCTGGAGGAAGGCGGCGCGCTGCTGACGCTTGCGCTTCTGGGCTCTTTGTTGCCTGGCGCTGTGTTAGTATGGTGGACAGCCGAGGGAAGCGAACAACAAGCTGGAGGGAGTGCGCTGGTCGGACGAGCACACATGAGGGGCAGAAGGAGGTTACGCACTCTGCAATGGCCTTGTTGGCCGCTCTGGCAGATTCAAAGACGGCAGCGGCGGCGGCCGAGGTGGAGACGGCCTCGGGCGCCTCGTCGTCCGAGTCTTCGGAAGCGTCCGAGTCGTCGATCGTGTCCTTGCGGCTGGGCTCGGGCACAGGCGCAGGCGCAGGCTGCTCGGCGCCGGGAATGATGGTCTCGGCGGCCCCGGCTTCGGCCTCGTCTTGGTCGTTGTCCTCGGCGGCGCTGCCGCTGAGACCATGCTCATCTTCGTCTGTTTTGGCGCGAATCTCAACTACCAGCGATGATGAGTTGCCTGGGGCTGGGGATTCGCTCGCATCCTGGGTCTCGTCCTCGGCCTCTGCGTCGGCCTCTGGCTCGTCCTTGACCGCTTGTTTCCTGGACTTGGCGCGCACGGGGAGCTTGCGCTGGCGCTTGGGAGTGCCGGCGGCCGGGCTGTTCTGCGAGGAGGATGGGGCAGCGGCGTCGAGGTCTAGGTCCAGAGCGTCGCCAGACTTGCGCTTCCTCATGTTGCGTGTGGTGACCATTTTGGTGTTTGTGTGATGATGACAGGAGGCAGATGGGTTTCCTGCTGTGGCGCCCGGACTGAGCTGCTGAGGCGAGCTTCTCACCGTACGCAGACTAAGAGAGGATCCTGAGGTGACTGCGTGGCGGGGAACGTATGGGCCGGTGGATCGGGGTGGAGGGAAGAGATTTTTGAGTCACGTTCTTTCGTTGTTCCTCCTGTCTACGGCCGTCGAGTTGATGATATATCGAGCGTGGAATTGATATGTGAAAATACTCCAGAAGGAGGTGAGGTCGTCGCGGTTGACGGCTAGAAAATTGAGTGTCAAGTGAGATTTTTGGGGGTGGAGTCGAGGGGTGGATCCGAAGCGTGTGATTGGCTTGGAGGGGACCCCTGCTCCTGCCCGTTCCAACGTCGTCTCTTGATCGCGCTTGCCCAGGCCCCAACTCCTTCTCACCTGCCTACTAGGTACCTTAAACCTACCTACTGCTACCTTGCCTGACCTTTGCAGGCACATAAGTTGATCAGGTTGCTTCATTTGCCTGCTGTGTTCCATCTGTACATCGCCATTTCCATCTCCACCAGACACCCTTCCTGGAATGGACAGGTAGCCCAATGCTCTGCCGCCATCTCTCTTCACGGCGAGCAGCATGGCGCGCTACTCAGATGCTGTGCTCTGGCCGCTGCTCGCCATCGCCATCAGCAGCGCGAAGGCCCCTGGACTTGGTCCGTACGTACTCCAGTGATCGCAGTAGAATGCGTCAAAGGGCCGCGCCGAAGCCTGCCCCATCGCCATCGCCGAGGAGGAGACCTGAGACGATGGCAGAATCTCGCCCACTTGAAGTGCGCCCTCGGTCGCCAGACGACTTCAAGCTCACGACGCCAAACCGAGAAGGCTTCACCCTCGACCACAAAAGAGTGCACCGCATCTACAGCGAGTTTCTGAACGCGGCGTCCGGGCTTCACCAGGGGCAGAAACACTGGCTTTCTGAGTTTGCCAAGGGTATGCCCTCCCCTCTTTACGCCTTTCACCTCTCGCATACCCCGAAATCCCCCCCCCCTCTCTCACCACAGTATTGACCAGTCACGGCAGAGCACGATATAAAACCTCAGGACTTCTACGAGGTGGCACTCCGCATGTCAGATCTTGGCCCCCTCTCAAGGGTCGAGCATGAGTCCCAGTCTCGCATGCTCGACTCGGCCAGCGAGCTCGGTCACGTCCCCGCCACACTCCACATCATCCGCACCGTGCTCTATGGGAAGAGCCCGGAGAACCTGCAGCGCTCTTGTCCCCGCGCCTACGCCCGCTTCCGCACTCTCGTCGACGAGGGCCGGAACCCCGACGCCCTGACCCTCGAGGGCAAACTCCACGCGCTGCGCGGCGAGAGGGACCAGGCTGTCGCGCTGTTCCGCCGCGCCAAGGATGTCGCTGCAGCCGCAGTTGCCAGCGGCGGCGGCGGATTTCAGTGGAAGAATCTGTGCCAGGTCGAGCTTGCCAAGCTGCAGGAGGCTGTCGGTGCCAGGCAGGATGCCTACCGGGAGTACCGCGCGCTGGCCGACGCCGGTGACGCCCGAGGTGTGCTACTATCTAGGGGACGCTCGACGCGTGCATGCCGGGGACGGTTCTGGCTAGTGCATGAAGCCTAGGTGAGACAGCTCTTTGATTTTATGCCGCTCTGGTAGGATAATTTGTTGGT